GACAGAAGTCGGATTCATCCATAAACAATACATGATGCCATTCAGTGGTCCACTTGCAATGACAACACCACCAAGCCAACAAGCAGCCCCGTGTCATATGGTTAATGGCATCCCCGTTGCTGATTGCATGCATGCAGCCTGACTTCATGCAACCTGTTGCAATTGTCTTGGGTGGACACACCCATTGACAGCAACAAGTGGCTTTAGATATCATATGCCTTGGTGAACAGGATCTGATGGGTGGTTCAGCAAATCTGCCAGTCTGTGTGCTCTGCCATGCGCTGATAAAATCTGCTTTCTCTTTGGCATGTTCACAGATGTTCTTGCATCCATCCATTATGCCACACATTGATGGATGATACTTACGTTGTGCCCAACATACATGGCAATGTATGTTGAGCACAACATCTACAAACTGAGGTTGTGCAGCTCCAGGATAAGATCTTGTTCTCAAACTGTTAACTAGTATTCAGCTTACTGTTGTCTCCAAGGCATTTTTGATGCTTCTTCAAAAGTTTGGTTGCCACAAACAGTTGCTAATAGCATTTATGGCCCAAGCTAACTGCTAGTCTTTATAGCCCAAAACTGGGTACCACATGGCCAATGTATAGGAAAACTTAATAATTTGCATATTCCCTTCGCTTCTAATGGTCCTACAGTTTTCACATGGCTAAGTGTATTCCTTCATGGTGTTGCAATTTCATATATAAACATCACCGAGCCTGATGTATTAATAATAATTGTTGATGATCTTTAGTAATCAGGCTATTATTTCACATCTTCATAAATTTTTTAGTAAAATATTATAAACTCAACCATGCTCAAAAATAATTTATTAAGAAATAACATTTCACTTTATTTAGGAAAAAATTCATTTATGTAAGGAGCCTAAAAAATCTCTTTATATTATTCCAGAATTTAATTTGACTGTCCTTAGTTCAATGTTTCCTTTTCTTTTGTTGACTTCAATCACTTATGTAGTGTTGTATCCACTAATGTTGGAACAACTCAAGGTTTTTTCAAATTATTTTTTTCTAAATAATAAATATATTAGAGAACCAAAAATAACACATGACAATGCCATATTGAAAATTCATACCATAGACTTTTAAACATCAGAAATTTGATCTTTCATCACAAAGCTGCTGTTTATTACAGTGATAAAATAATTAATAGTACAAATAAGGTTTTTTTTAAAAAATATATATATTTATATATATTTTTTTAAATAGTGGAATCCTGTTATTATAATCATAGATATAGTTATCAATTGGCTATTGTTACCATAATCAGTTGGTCCCAAAATACCCTATAAAATTAATTAAAAATAATCCACATATTATAATCAAACTTAGGCTATTGTTATGAATTATGATAATTACCTTTGGGAACAATGGATATGAATTATAAGAATTCTTAGAAAATTCATACTAAATTGACCTTTTCTTCAAAACTTACTTTGGTTAAAACAATACCTTTTATTTTGAACATACTGTAAGGGCATGACAAGAATTTTTAGAAAATAAGTGTACTGTAGATCTTTAAGCTTATCTTTGGGTTTGAACATTCCTATTGCAATTTCTCTACTTTAATTTTGTGATCTGTTGAGTTAAAAACAGTTTATAAGAAATGTAGCATATATGACTTAAATATGTAATGTTGTGTCAAGTGTACAGTTTGTAATATCATAAAGTACTCAGCAAATCACTATACATATAACTAACACCTTATCCTTGCCGAGAAATATAATTTATTTCAAACAAACATTTTTAGCCTGATTCACAGGCTGAAAATGTTTGTTTGAAAATAATTAAGTGATTAGGGAATTGGGGATATGAACAAAACCCTGATGAGAGCTGAAATTTTACTTAAACAAAAGCTTAACCGAACCATCTCTAGCCAAGTACAGTGGAGACTGATTTCTTCCTATTATTAATGTAATAAAGACAGAAATTTTTCCAATTCAACGAGAGTGACCGAAAAGTTGTAAATTTTGGAAATTTCTGAAGACACTTGGTCCTAAAATGAACTTGTTAGAAAACAAATGACTTTTAAGTTTAACATATTTAGATTTTTACAGCTATGGTGAGAAACGTTTAAAATCTACAGCAGCTCTGTCGTGTCCTTTGATATATACTAGTGATGTGACAAAAGAGGAATTTGACATTGACCAGTNAATTCTAATAATAAACTATATACAATATTTAGTAAAATTCAAATAACAATTTATTCAAAGGAAAGTCAATAAGAATCAACCCGACAAAACTCAAATCAATCTATTTTCTAACTTAATTCTATTCCCCTTTGGAATTCAACAAAATCAACAACTTAATTTATCTACAATAATTCTTAGGAATTAAAGATCCTAATCGTCTCCTCAATATACTAGGAACCTATTTCCTCAACTCTCAAGACTTTCTCCATTGGAAGATCCACAAACAAGTGAAGAATCAGACATAGCCGCAAAACTGTTAGCGGTAACGACCTTTGAAAGAGAGAGAGATCTTATAGACGCTCAACGACGAACTGATTCCGAGTGGAGCGGACTATACAATTACTTAGCAACTAAGAACTTACCAAATGATCCAGCCATGTCAGCAGAACTAGTAGGTAAGTCATCCCATTACCGGCTAGTAAATGATGTTTTGTATTATAGCCGGAAAACAGACGACACTGGAAGTTATAGACCAGTAATTCCATACGAATTAAGAAATGACTTACTACAAGAGCTACACGATCATCCAACCGCTGGCCACTTAGGTATGCGAAAGACCACTAAAAAGATTCAACAATGTTGCTATTGGCCCGGAATGAGGAAAGACATTAAAGATTATGTACTGGGGTGCAATACATGCCAGATAACGAAGTTCGACCAGAAGAAAACGGCCGGACTAATGCAAGTCCCCAAGGTAACAAAACCGGGGGAAAAGGTAGGCATAGATATTATGGGACCCTATCCTAGGTCCAACAAAGGTAATGAGATGGGCTTTGAGATTATAGGAATTTAGTTTCCAAATACAGCATAGAAGTGGAAAGGAGAATCAATTGCCAGACGCCTTATCTCGACATCCATTGGAAGATCCACAAATCCTGTGATATTTCTTCTCTCTAACTGCAAATTTTCACCTTCGGATGACCTGCAGAATTTCAAAAATTCACATTTTTCGGAAGTATACCAAAATATTATCATAGAGTTAAAGTCAGGTTTTCAAAAACAATCACTAGCGACCCACTTTCTCACCAAAACTCTGCTGCTTGCATCATGAGTTTCAGGGAGGAATGGGAAGAAATGTAATGACCTTGAATGGGTCCATGCTAGATCAAAAAATAGCAGGCACTATGTGATTTCTCCCTCTTACAGTGTGTGCAATTTATTCTGCTTAAATTTGCATTTCCATCCTCCTCATTTTAAGAAAATTTGATTTTTTGATGTAACTTGAGTATTTTTCTTATTTAAATAAAATTTACAAATTAATGTAAATAAAATCATGAAATTTTTTGACATAGAAATGACTTTGCATAAAATCGATTACTTAATTGGCTAAGTTTTTGTAAGTGAATAAAGTGTTTTTAATAAAAAATTTATATAATTGTGTGCAAAATGGGCTTAAATAGACTTGGCCACATATTACATAATAGAAAGAGGAAATGCAGAGACCTTAATAAGTCGGGGAATGTTAGGAAATAAGATGGAATTACAGTGGTGCCTCGTACAATGTACTTAATCTGTTCCAGGTGCACGTCCGTTATACGAAACGCATTTTCCCATAGAAATACATGTTAAAACATATAATTCGTTCCGCAGCATAAAATAACCGTACTGTACCATAAAAAATGAAAATGGAGCAGACACCAATTATGCCTGGTAGTCAGATGTTGTGAGGAGGAGGTGGAAGAACACTTTCTTTACACATTCATACAGATACAGACTTTTTACACATTGCAGCGGGTCTTTTTTTATTGTTTTTTAATCGGAGTCAGATTCAGGAGAGGCTACCGGAACTTGCAGGGTCAACTTCTCTTGTTCCATCCTTTGTTTTTTGCCCGCTGGCTTCTTGAAAAACATGACCAAGGTGGTCTGTTTCTCTTTCTTCTTTAACACCTGTCGGAAATGACGGACAAAGGTGTCATCGTAGAGATCATTGATCCTGTTGGCCTCAGCTCTGTTTGGATAATGAGTGTTGGTAAACTCCTGAACCTCTCCCCATTCGACAAGAAAGTTTTTGTCAACTTTCACTCCTGATGATTTCTTGCTTTGTTTCAATTGAAATCACCTTTCTGTTTTTTTAGAAGCCATGATGCATTATAAATGACTTAACTTGCCAGATTATATGATACGAATAATTCTTTATTAATTAAGATCACTAAACACTTCTACGAGCTACTCTCGCTCCGTTTGTTTTTTACAACCTCTTTTCGTCCCGCCACCTCGGCATCTACACAATTACATTTCGTTTATTTGAATCGTCAACATATATTACATTACATTTAATGTTTATTTAAATCATCAACATATATTACATTACATTTCTACTTCAGATATACTAATAATACATTCTAATAATACTAATATATCCTAAAAATAGCAGATTGTCATTGGTAACGGCAAAAGAGTGGAAACATCATTCGCACTTGTTCGAAGAAAGTCCATTGTTCATCTCACGTAACTGCCGAACGGAAAGTCCGTTGTTTGCAGCAAGTCCGTAGCTCGAGTCACATAACGGTCAAACAGAAAGTCCGTTATTCGCAGCGTCCGTTATTCGAGGCGTACGTTATACGAGGCACCACTGTACCTGTACAGACCTTGTATATCATTATTTGGATTTACAAAAGAATTTAACTACGTTTGAACATATTGAATGAGAAATACAAATATTCTGTTATAAAACTAAAAAATGATGTTTTTGGTGTGTGTGTGTGTGTGTGTAATCAAACGATTTTTGATTAAAAACCTTCAAGTAAACAAGTAAAAACCAATTTCATGTGAAATTTTTTGAACATGAATGCAAATTCTCCTGCATAATAATTTTCTGGTAAAGAATCAGATTAAATTGATTTGGTAATAAAAAATTTAAATATACTGTATTGGCCCAAATATAAATTGACTCCCAATTTTGGAATACTTACTTTTTGAAAAAAATGTGACAATGTATTTATTTGCATACAAAAGAATTGACTTTTCAAGTTTTTAAATGCAAATTGCCATTGAAACTCAATCACTGCATCACTCATTGTCACCATTCTTGTGTCCTATTTCATAATTTGATTCCCAGATATTTGTAAATACAGTCAAGAAAACAGTATAAATGAATTTTTCATTAGTATTTTTTATAGATTGCATTTAAATCTTACCTAACTGATCAGACTTCATATTTTATACAAAGGAATGTAATATAGATGTCCAATGTATGTAACGATGACTTTTATTGTTTTTTTTTTTTTTTTTAACTGAAATTAGTTTCAATTTTGTTCTATAACTTATTATATTTTATGCATATGGTTGTACACTCAGCATATGTATTCGAGAAGTAAGCTTTCTTGCATATTTTACTCGTATTCTGGAAAGTGTGCTGCTGGTTTTATGACTGTCAAAAATGATATAAAGTTTATGTATTTCATTTTTGCTTATCTTATTTTTTCTAGGACTATCTAAAACATGTAAATTATAAATTTACACTTTACAACAAATTTTTAGTACCTTCCCCGATTTTTGATGTTCGCTTGATTAGTGAAGACTCCTAGGAGTAAGAGAAAAGTTACCAAAACTAACTGTTTTTATATCATAATTTAACAGAATCAATCAACTAATCAATTAGTATGATTGTAAATAAACACTTAATTCTTGTGCATAGTTTATGGACTGCAGTAGGACAGGTCACAAGTTGGCTGACTTTTGGCATCACTAAACAATCGACACCAAATTTTAGCATTAGTTTAACTCTATAAATATATTAACCTGTTATCTGTGATACAAAGATTTTTGTTCTTATTTCAGTCACTTTCTGAAATTTCTCATCTGCTTGCATATAATGTAGAAATCTAAGATTAATTTATATAAGTGTAAAGGATGAAACTAGATGATAACTTTAATTTGTCCCAGAACAGCATTTAATGTGTACTATATAGCAGTAATATAAAAGATTTTGTAAACAGAATAATCTTAACTAAAAAGGTATGTGAAAGAATTCGTTCATGGTGATTTTGGAAGAACTGTTCCAAATTTAGGACTGTTATTAGAAGCCGAAGTAGACATAATCGAATTAGATGTAGAGGTAAGCAATTTAGAAATGAAATAATAATGAAATTTGCTATCATTAATAAACATTTTCTTTGCAGAAAATTGATTTAGACTGGCCTCCTGTCCTATGAAATAAACTTTTCAAGGATTTCATCAAAACATTTATTGAAATATTTTATATTAAATCATACATAAAACTTTGACATTGGAATGAATTGAAAATCACAGTGTCATTTTATCAGGTTGTATATATGCAATAAAAATAGCTATAAAATTTTTTTACAATTTCACATAATCAATTTAATTGTAATTTTATAGTTAATTCAATAAACAATTGTTAATAATCAACATTTCATAAAATCTTTACTTTGACTAACATTTAAGCATAGATATTTACATTTCCAATAGGAAAAAATAACAACAGTTTTTATTTAAATACTAATGCTTTTATAGTCATAAAAAGGCACATAATGGATATATTTAGCTGCAAAATACTGAATATTTATAGGACTCATTTCTTAATATTTCAGATGAAATACAAATGGATTATTATTATTATGGTTTTAACTCAGTAGTTTTTGATTGAAATGGCCATTGATCAGTAGAGAATCAGAAAGTTCAGATGATGATATGGAACATATCAATCTCAGCATTTGATATAAAACTGTGTCCATATTTTTGTGTTTATGACATCCAGCTGATAAAATCTGATCACATTTTCTACATTTACAAAATTACTTATATATATAGTTTATACTCTATGGATGACAACTGAACAAAATTAAAAGCAGTTGTCAGATTTACAGGATTATAATGAAACTACATGTGGTGATTATGACAAATATAATAATTTAAAATTTGATTTCTTCCTGCTTATAATGTTAGTGTGAAAAAATCATCAGCAGTATTTGCTAGCAAAGGTTGGTAAAACCAAATTTTTTTTGTGATAGCAACACAAATGATAGATGATAATAGAAATGCAATAATAAAAGAATGATTAATACTAAATTTTTCAATTATAATAATTGGCATTTTCACAAAACTTAATTCTAAAATTAATTACATCTCAAAAAAATATACAAACTTTTATTTAAAAAACAATAGATTTTGAGAAACTTCACATCAGTATAAAAATTACAATTAGATATTTTGCATAGACACAAACATTTCTGACAAAATAAGGAATGTTTATCCAAACAGAAAATAAAATGTATGTATAAAAGATCTGTTTCTTTAAATGCATTCTCAGAAGTGTGTTATGAAAAATATCAAAATAAAAATGTGTTTTTTTATTAAAAAATAGTAAATTTTTGTAAAAATTTTGTTAAACCTCAACTTTTTAAAAATTCTATAATTTTACAACCATTTTTTCCTCCTATTACAACAATGTCTTATGTTGATAAAAGAAATTAAAAGTCTATATGCATTTATGAATTTTTTAAAAGTTCTTCAAAGCACAAAATATATCTGACATGATAAATATTAAGTATGATTTTTTGAAAACTATAAAATTGCACAGAAGTTCTTAATTGTAGAATAGAATCTTAATAGTCAATTAAGAAAAATTATTTCAGTGTTTAAAATAAAAAGTTTATGACATTTCATTATAGCTTATTTTTAAAATTTATTTGCTATTTTTAAGTTAAAATTTTTCTAGAATGTGTTGCCAGAACATTTTAGTTTATCTAAAGCCAGTATTGTACAGTATAAATAAGTTTATTTGATTACAAATATGCCAAAACTAAAACAATTCAGCAAGGAAGAAGTTAAAAAAATTTGGAAAATGAAGGCTGTAGGAAATTGCTAAAACACTGAAAGATTACCTTCAGGGGTACATTAGATATCTAACCTAGATATGGTAGACCAATGGTATTATCTAGAGAAGACCCGAACAAATTTTGCAACTAGTGACTAATAACTCTGTTCTCTAAGAAAAGCAGCTAATGCTAAACAACCATATCTAAAGCCAGACACATCAGTGCACGAATAATTGGCACGAGAATACGTGGACAGAAGAATGGAAAAAGTTTTGTTTGGTGATGAAAAGAAACGGAACTTAAAACAGGCCTGATGGTTGGTTTAGTTATTGGCGTGATTTGAGAAAAGAATCTGACTTTTCATAGTAGACAGAAAAGAGATGGAAGTCAAGGATTGGGCAGCTTTTGGATATCATGGTAAAACTCCAATAATAATCATTTGTGGCAAACAGAAGTCGGAAGACTATCAAAAACTGCTTGAAAAGTTTCTTCCTGCTGGAAATAGACTTGCAGGAGGAAAATTGGATGTTTGGTGCACAGTTAATTTGTAAGTCATAACTATGTTGTGTGTTTATTGAGTCACTTGCATTCTAGAATGTTTCTTATTGTTTGCAATATGATTATTTTAGTCACATTTGAATGACAACTTTCTGATAAACATATAGCTTATAAGAAACAGATATTTCCTTTCTTAACAGAATTTTTCTGCAGAAAACAGCCCTCAACAATAAGCTAGTACTGCTTGATCAAAACAATGTAAGCTTATTCTCATTAGATGAAATTAAGTACATTTTATTGCACATTTTATGTGGTAGAACCCTAGGCTTTTAATTTTCTTGAATGACAAGATTTAAAAAGGTTCTACCATATTTGTTCAAAACAAATTTGTGGTAATATAGTAAGGATTTAATTATTAAGACTTTGTTAAACCTCAACCTCAAATCAAATAATTTTCTTTTGAAAAATTTATTTGATTTTTGTTGGCTTTTATTTTGATCAAAATGTGCTCTAAAATTAAAGTTTATTTACCTATAATTATTAAATAATATTCAATAATTGTAAGTAAATAAACTTTAATTTAAAAAAAATTTTCTGGCTATCTTTTCCTCTTACTACTATATATTTTAGAAAAATCTTAATTTCAAAATAAAAATATATGTTAGTTTTTCATTTTTTAAATTTCTGGATCATTCAAATGATTTGTTTTTAAACAATTATCTTTTAGAAGAATTTAACAGAAATAAAATAAAAAAAAATACTTGTTAGATCTTAATGAACCATAATAAAAGAAACTTATGGTGATGATTGAAACTACATAGTAGAACCTTAAATGCTTTAGATTAAATTAATTAAATTTTGAATAATTATGGTGATTAATTTTTTATAATTTACATGTTCAGTATCCAAAAAATAGTATTAAGTGAAGATGTATTAATACAATACTTGCTGGAAATTAATATGAATCTAATTGATAATATATGACTAATTATTTAATTTCAAATTAATAAATTCTGACAAAAATTAAGACCAAGATTGTTTTAATTTTTAATCTTTAAAATGTAAATACTTATATAATATTTTACTATTTTAAAATCATAGTTTAGCCTCGGAAGCTTTCATATTTTAATCTAATGATACATGCTAGATTGATTTGATCAATGAGGTTATATTGTAAAATGGCAAAAAAATAATGTTATTGTGTGCAAAAATGATTTATATCAAGAAATATAAACAACTTAACATTGATGATGATAAAATATGTAATATTCAACATTTAACAAATATTTCTCAAATGAGTTCTCTCAGTACTTATGTAAAATTAAGACTAGTTATTTTTTATTGTTTCAAGTATCTTCAGAAGATTGACGAACTGTATTTTCACATAACTGACTCAATTCTTCTAAATCCCTTTCTATCTTTTTTACTTCATGAAGATTTTCATCTGTTTGTCCATTGCCTGAAGGTAAATTTTGGCCGCTATCAAATATTGAAGGATTTAAATCGAACCAATTAGTACCTGATAAGCTTGTATCAGTTTGTAATGAAAAATCAATGGTCAGACTATCAAATTTAACAGTTGCATCATCGACAGACATTTGCAATCCTGAATTTGGTAAATCATCTTCTAAAACATTTATAGATCCAGGAAGAGATTCTGCTACATTTGGATTATCTTTGACTGCTCCTCCTAATGGTGGTGGAGATCTACTGTTGTCAGACAGTGATGGCGGCGGTGGTGGTGTAATATTGACAGAGGATAGAATTCCTCCCATAGATAATGTTGAAGAAAATTCTGGATTAATATTATTATTAGGCTGATAAAATGAATGAAGTAATGCACCACCAGTATATGAAATAGCTGTGGAAACAGGTGTAATTGTTTCCAATGCTTGCTTTCCGGGGCTTGGGCTGGTATACAACCTTTGATAATCTGAATAAGAATTACATGAAAATGCATAATGTATAATAAACATATTATATTTTATTTTTAAAATTATATACAAAATTTATTTTTTAAACAAAGTAGTATTTGTATGCAGTAAGTAATAAATGAGAGAGAAGATTATTATGTAAAAAACTTCAAAAGTTCATCAATATAGAACTAATTTGTTTTATTTACACCAATTATTGATCCCAAATGATGCTAGCTAACAGCTAATAGATGTTATTGATTTTAATTCTGCATACTTTGCTTGCAGAATTAAACTAATAACTTATTTAAGTTTCTACATAATAATCTTTTGTGTTAGCTAAGCACTTAATTGAAGGGTTCAGTTCAATAAGACCTTAACCTTCATTTTTGGGGAAACTCAGAATCATACACAAAGTTATGCAAAATAATAGTATGTACTTTCTGTCAATAGATGGCTCTGATGTGAGCTTACATGATTCCGCAGTAAATCTATATCATTTTTCTAATCAATGTAACAGTCATTTGTTTTGAGCAATAAGGTGCTAGACTAAATAAAAATGGAAGGAGAAAGCAGTCAAATGAATAATAGTAATAATATAATCTAGGTCATTTAAATTGATCCTGGGAATGAATATTCAGAAGAGGAGGTAAGGATTAGTTTTATATCTATAAAGAGAGAATTGAAGGATGACACTTTTCACTTCAAAGTTCTATACTACAAAAAATACACACATTTTTAAGCTAATATAGATTTGTTTATTTACTTATCTTAATATTGTGAGAGACATGTATGTGATAATACTTATAATTATTAATTTCAAATGTCTACTCTTATTGTTCTGCGTAACATTATAAATATTGGTAATACTCGTAATGTCAATGGATATTTCTGAAATTATCATAAAATAAAAGTAAAAACAAATACTGATAAAATTTTATTCTAATGCTTGAATGTAAATTCAAAATGAACTAATGTAATACAAACAATTATCTTTGTGACTTTGTCACAATGCCAGGCTGCAATTTTTAATCAATTTAATTTAAAATATATGCTGTTCACCTCAGATTAGTAGTGGCTTGCCTCTGTACATCATGTTTTTCCTTTAACAATAGAGTTGTGCCAGTCATCTAACTCCTTTCATAGAAAATTTTTTGAATTGAAATAACGTGACTTCTTGTTTGCATTGTAAATTCATATATAATTAATCAGGGGTCTCCTGCCCCTAAGATTTCCATATCTGGTCTCATCTTTCATCTACCTAACTTCATCTACCATTCTTGAGATTAAGATAAGACAGACAGATGACAGTGGGAATTTATAGGTCTACAATTTTTTTCAAATTGCACCCCAATAAGAAAATAACTATTGTTACTTCAGATATTATTAATGTAATTTAAACATAACCTAATTTTGTCCAAAATTGTTTCATAAAATAATTCTACCATTATGAAATTAGAATAAACTGATTTTAAAAAAAACTTTCTTTCTTTCTTTGTGATTTAATCTACTTACTGTTTTAGTATGAACTACATATATCAAGGAAGCCTGAGGTCAGTCCTATCAGCTGCTCTTCAAACAGTAGGAGCAAGAGTCATCATCAAGACTGGCAATGTGCAAAACATGAGGAGGAAAAACAAAGGTCAGCAATATACTTCACTGCCAAACGATTGCTGTAATCCATTGGGCTATTTTTCAGATTTATTATTATTAATTAAATTTAAGTAAATTGTTAATAAGAGATGATGCCTAATGTCTATTTCTTTTAATTTATTATAATTATTAAATTTAATAAAATAATCTATATCTATCTAATATTGTAAAGAGGTAATGTTTGTAAGTAAGTTTGTTTGCAGCAGGTAATCTCCGAAACTACTCATCCGATTTCAAAAATTCTTTCACCAATATTTAGAATGAAACCTCAGGGTGGACATAGGCTGTATATTATTCCGTTAAACATTCATATAAATTAAAATATATAATCTAGGTTAAGGCTTTTATGTCCAACAGATGGCGCTACAAGTACGACGCCCTAAGTTTGCTTTTATGTGAGGCATTATACTTTTCTGTGAAAATGAACTAAAGCAGATCATCTTCAATCTATCTATATAAATAAAAATGTAATGTTCGTTTGTTCCTACCGATTCTTTTGAAATTTTGACACAATGCTGCATTCGAATACGCACGTGTTTTTATATAATATACATGTCAAAATTCCCCCCACTGAAGGGAGATGGTTAGGATTAAGGCTTACCGTAAAGAACTCTGCTTCTATTTATACTATTTTAGATGCGGTTTTTTGCGTTTTTGATTGCGTTATAATAGAGTACGTCAAGAAAACGTACACTAAGAAGAAATTTTTCGAAAAATTTCCCCCCACGGGGGAAGTGTTATACATTTATAATAGATACATTTTGAGCCATAACAACGCGTGGCGGGGTCTGCTAGTTTAGAATATTCTGGAAGAAAAGAATTGTCCTGGAGTGGGATATGAACCTACAACTCCCACTTATGCTACCTGGACTCTCAAGCACTTCTCTGCTTCTAGGCATATTTAGTTGACCCCAGTTGGTGCTATGTGTAACTATGGATTGTTGTATCTAAGATTAAATGTCTGGAAGTGGAGAATCATTCAGGGTCCAGGTAATGTAATAGGCAATGTATTCACATGGTAAGTGGCAGTTGTGGATTTAAGTCCTGCTCTGGGTTGATTCTTTTCTTCCAGAATATTCTTAATTATTTTATTAAAATTATTAAATTTAATAAGAGATGATGCCTAATGTCTACCTTTAGTAACAAATTACTTAAAATTTAATTATTAATAGTAGCTGAAAAATAGCCCAATGTATTATGGCAGGGCTTCTTAAACTATGGGTCGCTTAGTGAAATCTTGGGGTCGCGAGATTTTAATGCAAAATATTGAAAATAATTTGTGAGAGTTTGAAAATGGCACACTTTGTGTCATAGGTTTCGTGAGTTGCGCTTTGTGTCACTTCTGATTCAGCAACACTGATTGTAGTGTGAACTAGTGTAGTGTTGTCGCTTTTCAGTGTATTCAGTTGTCTCTGTTCCATTGTAATACAAGAGTTAACTGTTAGGGATTGTATACCGGTTTACCGCTTAACCGATAAATTGACAAAAAAACATTCGGTAAACTTACTGGCAAATTTCAAAAATTTACCGGTAATTTGGTAAATCCATACTAGAAATTTTTATGTAGAAAATATTGCGTTTATGGATATTTAAAAGGGCTAAAGGGATATTGAAAATAAAGAAAAAACAGGTAAGTGTAAGCAACAATATACCTAATTATTAATTTTATGTGAGATATTTTTTGTTTAATTTTAATTTAAACTTAATTGGGTTTGACAGGCACTGTAAATTGTACAGAAAGCTCTAGTTAACATATGTGAATTGTGCTCTGCAGTTTTTTGAGATTTTTAAAGGTTTAAAATATTTACAATCAACATTTTTCTTAAAGAGTAAGTAAATATCTCCTTTTTTAATATTTAAAAATAATGATACGTATATATCTCACATATTTTTTAAATTAATAGCAATTTTGAATACACCACATTATGACAGGACATTAATGCAATATTATTGTAAAATAACATTAAAATTTGAACCGTAAATAAATTTTTTACTTCTAACAACTGTTTAAAATAATTAAATACAGTAATACCCCGACTTACACGAACCCGGAGTTACGCGATTTTCAAATCTCGTCGATTCGTCTTTTGTTTGGGCGTCATGCAACCCTCGATTACTCACTCCCCCCCACACTATTGTTCAGCTTACATGTTCGGACGTGTCGCGCGGAATCCACACATAGCTACAATTTATTTCTGTGTTTGTTATATCTACGGAGACTTGAGAGACTCTACTATGTCATCCAAACGAAGTAGAACTAATTCTTCCGCATCAAACAAGAAAAGAAAAACTTTATCTTTGGAATGTAAAGTTAACATTGGGTACGTTCGTAAAGTCGAACGAGTTAAGCGAGAATGAAGTCATCGTTATTCCTATTTCGTTAGACTTTTTGAACGATTCGTTACTAACGCGTTTAACTCGTTTGACTTTACGAACGTACCCATTATTAAAGACTTCGATACAAAAATGAAAATTTGTGAATTGGCAAAGAAGTTTGATCTACCGGAATTGTCGGTCAGAACAATTATAAAAGGCAAAGAAAAAATTCTCGAAGCTGTGAAAAATGCTCAATCTTTAAATTCAAGCATCATTCATGAAAGTCAAAGTATTATTGCTGAGATAGAAACAATGTTAAAATTATGGCATAATAATCAAGTAAATGTGAAAAATTGTAAAATAATATAGGCCTAATTTGTTATACATATGTATTATCTAAGATTTTATTAAACATTTTTTTCTATATTATTGTTTTCTTTAGTCTCCGGCCCCAATTAAAAATTATTTGTATGTATTTATATGCGAAATTATACCCCGACTTTCGCGAATTCGACTTACGCGGTTATCGCTCGGTCCCACCTATCGCGTAAGTTTGGGGTATTACTGTACAAATATTTATTACAAGATTCTAATATTATGCCTTAAGATTGTGCAAAATATGTATTATTCTAACCCTATTTTCTTAGAGAATCCCCATTACTCTCACGAAAAGAACTTTCTTTAATTTTAGATTGTAGAACCAGGTGGAATAGCTTACTAAACATGCTGGAAAGATTTCTATTACTTAAAGATGCTGTCCGTCCGAAAACGTCTAGAAACCTAACCTAACCTAATCTGGATTATTTTGTATGAAAATGATTATTTGTGGCTCTCGATAAATGTACCCGAGTTCCCTTTTCATTTTTGTGTTATTATATTTTAAAAAATTATTATTGTTCCGTATGTGTTTCAAAATGTCTTTTAAATTACTAACAACAAATATGAAAGATTAAGTGCAACCTTGTAACAAATTTCATTTCCGTCCAAGTTAAGAATGATATGACTCATGGAAAACTGCGCGAACGAACATAAGCAGTGGCGTAATCGTCCG